GTATATTGCCGTCACCCCTATCCGTCCGTCCGTCGTCCGTCCACAATTGCTCGTAAACACTCTACAAGGCACAATAAATTCTTGACTGATTTCGACGAAACTTGGTATGGTTGTTTGTAATCACCTAAGGATGAACCCTATTGAAAATCAGAAAAATCGAAAAATATTTAGTATGAGTTAATGCCCTTGTTCTTGAAACGCTCGTAAATACTCTAGAATGTGCAATTTATGACGGATTTTGATGAAACTTGGTGTGAGTGTTTGTTATCACCCAAGGATGAACTCTATTGAAAATCAGAAGAATCGAAAAATATTGAGTATGAGTTATTGCCTTTGTTCTTGAAAACGCGTTCAATTTTTAGCTTGTAAACCCTCTAGAAGGCACAATTCTTGGTGGCTTGACTGTTTGTTATCACCCAAGGATAAAGCCTTTTGAAAATCAGTTAAAAAAGGAAAATTTTTAGTATGAGATATTGTCCTTGTTCTTGAAAACTCGTTCAATTTGTAGCTCGTAAAAACTCTAGAAGGCATGATTCTTGTCGGATTTTGACAAAACTTGGTTTTATTATTAAGTACCGCGCTGAAGATTGAACATTTGCCTTTTAGAGTTTTCACGAGCTAAAGAAGGGCAATAACTCATACTCAATATCATTTTACCAAGGGAACTTGACTAGGTATGTACTAGGTAACAACTCTAATATACACCCTGTATCTGTTCTCTCTCTGTTAATACTAGATTGTTTTCGTGGTTAATTGACAACAAGAAGCTGTCTCTCAGTTTGAATTCCATCAAAATCACTGCCGATTGTATTTTGTATTTGCAAGCTTCGATCTTTTAATTAACCAAAAAGAAAACAACAATGTGTTGCCTTTAATGATTTTTCCAAGGCTTTCGATCAATAAAATTAAGTGTATTGCAATATGTATCAAAATGTTCAGCAAAAAAAATTGCATATTCAATACACCCTCTCTTTCAGATCATGGAGTAAAACAATGAACAATCTGCCTTTTCCTTGTATTAAAAGAGAGTGTGTTTTCCTAAATAAACATGCTTTTGATGCTATTATTTTATGCCATATAGTTTTGTCATCATTTATTGTTAATCATGCTATGAAACAATGTTCAGACTGTATTGTTTTATGGCGTACTGTAACAGTCTAATGACTTAAAGAGGTTGTAAAGAGGTTTTCTTAACAATTTATGTGTATTTAGGTCACTGATAGAATCAACTTGCACAATTTTAATTTCTAGTCAGGGGTCTATGGTTCCTGCAATTCCACTGTTTTATGATATCAGTAATCGTAAAGGACAAGCATGATTTGCAAGAATTGCAAGAACCCCTCACGTCTGACTGAAATTTGAATGGTGCAAATTGATGCTATCAGTGTCCCCGATACACATCCAAATTTTTAGAAATCTCTTTACAATCTTTTCCAATAACCTAATACGAAAAGAAACTATTGTATTATAAAAATGCGAAGACTGTAAAGAGTAACTGGAATTTACCTGCATGTCATATATAAGTTCAGGCTGGGTCAGATCAACGTAACCATATTTTCCTGTATCTGGATCTTTTTGATATTTTCTTTTAGGATAATAGTTAACAATTATCCTTAATCTAGCAGATCCATTTACTGGCTTACCAAACGTATATCTACAAAGATTTCAGAAGGCGAAGTTACAGTTAAAAAATGCCATGGTAATTCTATGGAAAAGTATTATCAGCACAATTCAGATAAGTGAATACATTTTAAAATTAAAAAAAAAACATTAACGCTGATAAAATAGTGCTTAATAGATTAATTTTAGAGCTTCATGTATTAATCAAATTCATTCATGAAAGAACACTTATATATATTATTATATATCTGGTGGCTCACAAAAAACGATAACTCTTTTCAATCCATTATTTTTCATAAAGTATCAAAGCTATGCTGATAATAATTTGACTTCATATTTATATGGATATTAGACATCACTTTACCAAAGTGATATTTTATTCCATTTCTCTCTAATTCTGTCCGTCAGTTCCTCCTTATCTCCATTGTTAATTTTGTTATCCAGAGAAAACATACTGTAAACTATCTAATTGCAATGAGGAGTTTGGGTTGGTCATTCATCTTTTGTATGAAATACTCCAAAGTTCAAAAGGCAAGTTTATCATGGAAATAGCTTTTGGGGGTTTATTTTTGCTGAAAATTTCGTCCAAGTTAGTTCAATGAAAGAGAAGAAATTACAGTATTTAATTTCAGCATTATATTTTTTGATAAGGATTTTTAAAACGGCTTATATATCAAAATGGTTCAACCTATAAAGATATAATGAACAGATGTCTAATATCTCTATCAAACTTACTGAGATGAAACTTGTACTGTAATCGACTTATCCTTCTGACTTACAATATACGGCATTATAACTTTAGCTTCAGCTTTAGGTAAAACTTGAAAGAAAGCAAACTGTGGATGAGTTAATGTATTGAAGAACCTTGCTAGGAAAACTAATAATATGATTCTCTATTCTATTCTTCTTATGATTTAAGTCCCCAAAAAGTATTTGACTAAAGTAATAACTGTGGCGGTCTAAGCTAAAAAGACAAGCTAAATTTTGCAATTCAACAACTGGGTTTTATAAGCTTTGCATCTTTAATTTTTTGAATTTTCTAGTTGTTCTACTCGATGGACAACACCGGTATGCTATTGAAAACAGTTACTATAAATAATCAATTTGTTCAAGATAGTGTTAATATATGTAAAAATACCACAGGCAGCTTGAGTTTTCCTCTAATATTAACTATCTGCGATACAATCAGAAAACAATGGAAATTCGTTGAAATGAGGATCTTTCTCGGGAATTAGTCAAATAATATTATATATACATTCAGTTATTGTTTACACAAATTTCAGATAACTGTAGTATGTTTATGTTTACATACCATATTTCAGACAACTAATATCATTTTTCAGATTTTTGATAATTTGTGTACATACCATATTTCAGATAATTAATATCATATTTCAGATTATTTGTAATTTATGTATACATCACAAATTTCAGATAATTGATAGTACTATATGTTTACATAAATGTATGTTAGATAATTATTAACATTTTTGTGATTATTGATATTTCATAATTCATGAAAATTTAATATATTTCAGATTATTGATAATTTGTATACAAAACATATTTCAGATAATTGATAGTATGTTTACAAAACATATTTCAGATAATTGATAGTATAATGTTTACATAACAAATTTCAGTTTATTGATAGTATAATGTTTACAAAACAAATTTCAGTTTATTGATAGTATAATGTTTAAAAAACAAATTTCAGTTTATTGATAGTATAATGTTTACAAAACAAATTTCAGTTTATTGATAGTATAATGTTTACATAACAAATTTCAGTTAATTGATAGTATAATGTTTAAAAAACAAATTTCAGTTAATTGATAGTATAATGTTTACATAACAAATTTCAGTTTATTGATAGTATAATGTTTACATAACAAATTTCAGTTTATTGATAGTATAATGTTTACATAACAAATTTCAGTTAATTGATAGTATAATGTTTAAAAAACAAATTTCAGTTTATTGATAGTATAATGTTTACAAAACAAATTTTAGTTAAGTGATAGTATAATGTTTACATTATATATTTCAGTTTATTGATAGTATAATGTTTACATAACAAATTTCAGTTTATTGATAGTATAATGTTTACATAACAAATTTCAGTTTATTGATAGATTAATGTTTACATAACAAATTTCAGTTTATTGATAGTATAATGTGAACGTAACAAATTTCAGTTTATTGATAGTATGATGTTTACAAAGCAAATTTCAGTTAATTGATAGTATAATGG